GATGGATTAAGTCGGAGGTATGCCATCGAGACGGTGGAGGGTTATTTGCTCAATAAGATTAATGAAGGGCTACCCCATGACCCTGTGGTAAAAAGATTAATAGATGGAGATAATGAGGGGTGAACTCGAGAGTTTTGACTCAAATGTGAGTTGTTTTATACTCGAGGGCATCGTCTTTTTGTACCTCAGTATGGTGAACTGCACAAGGAGATCATGAAGAAATGCCATGACTCCAAGTGGGCGGAACATCCAGAAGTTGATCAAACCATGACACTACTTGCGGAGAAGTATTATTGGTCACATATGGCTGATGTGCAGGCCTATGTGAAGACTTGCATTGTGTACCAACAAGAGAAGGTTGAGATGAAGAAAAATGCGGGATTATTGCAACATTTGTCTATTCTCGGACGACCATGGGAATGTGTTTTGATGGACTTCATAGTCAATTTGCCAAATATTGATAGGCTTTTAAGCGTCATGGTTGTGGTGGACAGGTTTTCAATGTATACGATGTTCATTCCAACCAAGGAGACGGTTTGACTTTTCCTCAAACATATAGTAGAGTATTGGGGAGTACCAAAAACCATTGTCAATGACCGAGGCATACAGTTCATTGGGAGATTTTAGACCGAGTTATTCAAGTTGATGAGATCAAGCTTAAACTTTTTATCAGCAGTCCATCCACAAACCGATGGGCAAACCGAGCAAGTGAATCCTCTTTTGGAGATTTATTTGAGGCATTATGTGAGTGTCACTCAACGTGTCTGGCCAAAGTTGTTAGATGTGACTTAGTTTTCCTACAACTTGCAATGGAGCGAAACAACAAGCCAAAGTTCGATCGAGATCGTGACTGGGCAACAACCGTTGACACCCAACACGATTGTTACCAAGTATGATGGGTCGAATCCAGCAGCACATAATTTATCCAAGGATTGGCAAAAGTATCATGACTTAGCCTGTGCTTGTTTTCACAAGGCGAAGAAGCGAACCAAGAAGTGGGCTGACCGAAGACGTAGAGACATAAACTTTGAAGTTGGCGATCTAGTCTTTCTCAAGTTAGTGAATGTTTTACACAACCCAAGTGTGGACAAGGGCTTGTGCGAAGGTATGAGGGTTCGTTCCGAGTTGTGAACTGGGTAGGCACCATGGCCTATATATTAGAGTTACCACGAACCATCTGACTCTATCTTGTGCTCCATGTTAGCCTGCTTAAGTCATACTAGCAGAATGAGGATGATCCTGATCAAGGAAGGTCACATCGAGCGCTAGTCAGAGTAAAGATCTCCTATGACAAGGAGGTTGAAGACATCTAGGCAGAAAAAATTATTCAACATCTAGGACATCGCCCAAGACATGAGTACTTTCTTTTGTGGAAGGGACTTCCCGAGAGTGAAGGGAGTTGGGAGCATGCCGAGGGACTTTGACAATTCAGACCCATGACAGACCAGTATCATTTGAGGCGAGTGACAAGGGCGTCATCGAAACCAGTAGGGGAGAATGTCACGGACCGTGAGATCATGACCGAGGTTGCTGCTACACAATGAGTCCAAGACTACTTGGTTGGCGTTTTGGGCCTTCCCACATCCATTCAGAATGGCCCATTCCATGGAGATGGAGAACTTGGCACAATTATGGCAAGAATACCACTTGGTTAATGCATGATCCTTCATATTCTTTTCATAATCCTTATAATATTTTATTTAAGGTATATTCTCAATAGCTTTATACACTTTCCTTAAATAGATAGATTGTGTAAATATGATTCTCCTATATTGTGGGATTGTATAGATCTGGACCGTCGATGTACTTAGATCTTCATTTTAAGGCATCTCCTCCTCATTTGTACTTACTTCTTCATTTTGAGAAATCAAAAAGCATTTTCTCAAACTCTCTCTTGTCTTTGTGCTTGTACTTGCTAAGTTCTCTTGTTTTCTTTGCTTCCATTGGGAATCCTAAGCATCTCTGCTTTGATTGTTTTCAGATTGACTTAGCCGCTATCACAAAGGAAGTGACTAAGGTCGCACTTTCTAGGCGTTGAAGTTCCAAGGGTGTGACAGAGGTAACTACCATAAATCGTCCAAGGACCTTCAATGAGGATGCACACATAATCACATTCCATCTCAAACATAACTAGGCAATAGTCATTATCGAGATCAACCACAATGTATTTTTCTCGGGGTTTCAATAGTTGTTGAATCATATCCAAAGAGTTTCATAATCTATCATTCTCCCTAACAATCTAACTATAATGGATTTGCTCATGCTTTTGTCTATTCTCTCGTGCACTTTTTTAGAGAAGTCGACAGAAGGTATTGATTCTCTTGTATCGATTATAACATCGCCTTCTTCCAGTAGAATAATATCCATACTTGTGGGGGTTTTGATAATGGATGATTCATCTTGCCTGCGACTAACCCTGCATATGATAATAACCTTTGTGTACTTATTTTCTCTCTACTTTGTTTCTTCTTTGTTTTTTTCTTTATCATCAAACATCTTCTTGTTTCCTCTATATGTATAATCTCTTAGTTTCTTTCCTTCTTCAGCCCTTGAAGTTTTTCCAATGGTGATCCAGGTCTTTATAGGGTTACAATCGAATCAGGTTGATATCTTCCATGAATTGGTTAGGTTTCTCCAAGTCCAGAGGTTCTTTCGGTGGGAGTCTAAGAGGGTCATCTGGTGGTGCGAGGTTTTGCAGTAGGTTTTCAGTGGAATTATCAGTTATTTCTGCGTTATCGTTTTCGTTAGGGTTTCAGGGAGGGTTTTGCATGTTTTCTTAATTACTTTTGTCTTTTTATATAACTATTGACATAAGCAAAGAATCAGTCGGTTTGTGTAATTTAAAATCATTTGTTTATAAGTTATTTTATATTTGTATAATTCTTCTGAATAATTATTGTGCCGTCTTCTTTTCTTCCTTTGTTTTTTGTTTAGCCGGGGGCAGCACCAATCTTAATATTGGTTGTCGATCGCCGGTGATTTTTATTTTTCTTGTTCTTTTTCATATTATGTCTTTGTTTTTTCTTGAGTTGTTTACTTTTAAATAAGATTCTCTGTCCTTGTGACACAATTTCTCTGCTCTTGTGACATGTTCTTTCTCTGCTCTTGTGACACGTTCCTTATAGTTTTCGGTAAGTTTTTCGCATACTTCTGCGGTCGTGTTGGTGCTTCTACAAAGATCCTCACGGTATTTATTTTTTGATTGGCTTGTCGGTGGTCACGTATTGTCAGATCCCTTCTTTTATAAATGGTCATTTGCCGATATAATCAGACTTGCGTAGCGAAACAGTCTCGTTCGACAGAGATAAGGAGTTTGATGAAGGTTACGGATTGTTTTGATGTTTGAGAGGTTTCATTCTTTTCATATCTTTGGGCTTAATATTTAAATTTTATGTATGAGTATTTTCTGACAGTTATCTCCAATTTTTGTTTAGATGAATTGTAATTTTGATTCCTCCATTTTTATTAATGAAATTCAGTTGTCATTGTTAAAAGATTTATCTTAACTGAAAAATATTAAAATATATCATTTTATTTTAGGTATTTAATTTCTTAATCAAAATAAATGTTTTATTTTTTATTATATAATTGTTTTAAAATCAAGTTTAAGATGTCTAATAAAAGGATCATGTCACTCTTGACTAGAGGCGACAAAAGGGCAATCTGGATCGGGTCATTTTGGGTCGGGTAATTTCGGGGTCTAGATTAATTCTGTTTAATTTTGTTCAGATCGGATTGGATTTGGTTCGGGTGTATTGTGAATCGGATTGGGTCAATATTTGGGTCGGGTGATTATTGGATATGTTGTTTTTCGGTTTGGATCAATATCAGATCGATTGATTTTTTGATCGGGTCAATATCGGATCAGTTAGATTTCGAGTCGAGTCAATATTGGATCGGTTGATTTTCAGTTTAGGTCAACCTTTAGATTAGGCTAATTCCGGTTGAATTGGTTATGACTCTAATCAAAATTAAGTATATATAGAATAATTGATATATATTTGTAAAAATATGTATTCTTATTTGTTAATTTTATCATTTCGGTTTAATTTCAATTAGTAATCGTTCAACATTTTGAATTAAACCATCATTTAGAGATGATAAATGATATTTTGACACAAATACGATCCTATGATACATATTAGAATTTGATTTCAAAATTTTATATTGATCTCTTATGAAAAGTTTATAATGAGAACTACTTGATAAAGAAATAGTTTTTTATTAAAATATTTTTATTTTCAATTATAAATTTAATAATTTATTAAATTTTAAAAATTAATACATAATTTTATTTGTTAAGTTTTAGTGGTAACATAAGTAAATTATATATATATTTTTTATTATAAATCTAGTATTATTTCATTTGTTTTAATTGTTTTCTATTATTTTTATTATAAATCTAATATTTTTATAACAAATACGATAAGTAAATTTTATTTATTATTGTTTTCAATATTACAATTAAATTCTTACTTTTATATTCCTCTTAAATTTTATATTATTTTATTATAAATCTAATATTTTTAATAAATTATCAATTTTATTTAAATTAATTTATTATTGAAATAACTTTTATTGTTTAATAACTTTTATCAATTTAAATATGTCCGGGTTGCTTTTGGGTCGGTTAAATTTAGTTCGGGTTACTTTCGGATCGGGTTAAAATTCGATTCGGATTACTTTTGATTCGAGTTAATTTCGATTTCGATTCTGATTAATTTCAATTTCGCTAAATTTTGGATTGAGTATGGTTTTAGTCGAGTATGGGTCAATTTTCATTATCATGTTCGGGTTATTGGTTCGAATAATCATGTTTGTGTCAAGTTTGCGAGGTCTACTCGTGATAAGTTTTTTGTTTAACTTTCTTTTGAATATAAATATAAAATGAAATCGAAAATAGGATTGAGAGAAAATTCAGTTATTAATTTTGTAATTTACCATAAAGTTAACATTCTATTAAAGACAATGGTAAAGGTAGATGCTGTATTACCTTATTTGCCGAAGTGTGTGCTGTATTGCCTAGTAGCTATTTGCCAGTAGGTTGCTACGATTCATAAACTTAGCGCTGATCTCTCGTTTCCTCCGCTACTCAAAACTCAAGCTGGTATGTCTTCTCCTTTTTCTCCCTTCCTTTGATATTTAACATGATCGTCTTTTATATCTCCCTCTTTAAGATTTTGTGTTGCTCGATTGTTTCAGCTTTGATTTCTTGTTTCAAGTATTTCAGCTTTTATATATATGATGGAGCCATGATTTTCTGTTTTTCTTGTTACATGCAAAATTGAAATCTTCAGTTCTTGATCTGGAAAAAGTTCCAACCTTGAAACCCAAAGGAAATAAAAAAAAGGGAGTAGCTTTTGTTCTGGGTTGATTTGGGTTAGTGAAGAGAAAATCTTTTTGAATGCACCAGAAGTGTATAAAAATGGTTTATTCTATGTGTTTGATCATTTACCAAGAAGATTGTTATTTATTAGTACAACTCTTGCCTCTCTTGATTCTAAGCTTTTCAGTGTTGATAGCTGACGATTCTTATTTTGATTTAGTGTGACATCTTAAACCCGATCTGACGTTAAGATGACAAGTATGAGCCTCACATCTCCTTGTATTGTTAAAGCTGCAATCCCAATCCAACTCACAGGTGCTGTTGTCAAGGCCCCGAGATCGCTTGGATCTGTTAAGAGCATCTCGAAATCATTTGGCTTGAAATGTTCCTCAAATTGCCGAACATCCATGGCCGTGTACAAGATTAAGCTCGTACGACCAAATGGTGAGGCAAGCGAGATTGAAGTTCCTGATGATCAATACATTTTGGATGCGGCTGAGGAGGCTGGACTAGACCTACCTTATTCCTGCAAGGCCGGAGCTTGCTCCACATGTGCTGGAAAGATGGTTTCGGGTTCCGTCGATCAATCCGACGGTTCCTTCCTCGACGATAAACAAATGGAAGACGGTTATTTGCTGACTTGTGTTTCGTACCCTACCTCAGATTGTGAGATTCACACTCACAAGGAGCAAGATCTCTACTAAGTATTTTGTGGTCAGAAAATGAGTTAGTTTCTTAAGTAGCTGTCCAGACTATTATCAGAAGTTGCCAATGAGAGTAAATACTCTCCTACCGTAGAATGTGTTGTCTTTTATTGTGTAACGTTTGTTACTGTCATATTTAGGGGTGGACTGAAATTTCATATCATAATTGTTCTACTTGATTGGTAGAATGAACCAAACATTGCTATCTTGTTAAATTCTAGTCCACTGAAAAGGTGTTGTATAAGTAAGATACAAGGATGTCATTGCCAGGTTAACATAAACTTTCCTACAAGTATATCTATCGTGTCCCGCAAACCTAAACTTTCCTACAAGTATATCCGTCTTGTCCCGGAACTTCTGGGAAGCATGGACATCGATAATGCTATTATGTGTCGTGTTCCAATGCATTGCTTCTATTATATCATCTGAGCTGCCTGCTAAGCCAGCTCCACCACCATAGCCTCATCAAAGAACTTGTTGATTCTCACATCTTCACTCATTCCCTGAATGGTTTTAAACACAATTCACTCAACCATTTGTGATTGCCCTTTTCTTTTAAGGCTCTTTTGTCAATTTTAAGAAATAAAATCCGTGCGTGCATAGAAGTAACACCTAGCGATACCTTTGTACGCCTTGTCTTCACCATGAACTCCCGAGCAAGGTGCTGTATTGGTGCAGGTTCAAGAGGCCGCAAAACTATGCTCTTGCCCAAGGGATCTCCGGGTACTATGGCCCAACCCGGTGATCAAATACTGAGAGACAAAAAGCTTGTCCTTGTGTGTGGTACCTCAGATCTGTCTCGAAATTGAATGATTCTATCACAGGTAAAAATGCCTAAATGAGAAAAAGGATCAGATGAAAATTGTAAGCATATAGATGGGGCGATTAGTAGCTATTGGCCAATTACGTGAATATTTCTATAAGGAATTTAACCTTAGCTTTTCCTTACCTTCACAATATAGGCAGGGGTACCTGGTTGAGGCACATCAGCTGTAACATGACCACGTCTACGAGACAATACTGTGTAGATAGCAGAGACACAATCGATTGGTGTTTGTATCTGAAACAACTTTACGAATTTAATCACACGTAAGTTGGAGAGTCATCAGAACAAGTTCCATATTAAAAATGATATCAAAAAGAAGAAACTTCCTTTAACTTCCTCCTTCATAAGCCAAAAGAGGCTTTGTTTCAAGGTAGGACTGAAACCTCCGCATAGCTCATCCTATCATGAAGAGGATACCATGGGCTCAAGAGAAATTGCAACCATAAAGACCGAGAATATTTTCAGGTTTCATATCCCTGACAGAACCCAACAATGCCTTGTCCACCTCAGTAGGGAGCGTATCATCCAATAAAATATTAGGTCCCTATAAAACAAGATTCGTAATGGCCAGAGATACTGAATATTAGGACTTGAATTCGACTTTTCAGCTCTTTGAACAATAGGAACAAGATAGAATCACCAAGTCGGGGATTAAGTTAGAAACAATGGAATTTGCACTTCTGTTACCTGCTTATCAGGTCCAAATGCCCAGATAGAACGTGCAGCAAGCAAATCCCAGTCATATTTTGTCTTGAAGAAGTCACCAAGTTGCTTCCGACTCCAGTCAATACAACACCATTCTCAATGTCCTCTGCAAGCCCTCTCTCCAATGGCTCTGCAAGCTTAAAATCATGGACAAGCATTTTGATAATACAGCCTGAAAGCAAAGTACTACCAGTAATTATTCCTAAAAGCATGTCGATTAAAGAAGAGCTTAGATGGCTGGCTACCCATGGTTATCTTATTCTTCTTCTTGTGTGTTTCAGCAAAGCATTTCATGGAGGAAGACCACCACTGTTTCACAGAATGAAACAACAGGATCTGCCACCTATTATAGGAAGCATAAGAAGTAAAATCACACATAGTAAGCACAGCTCATAATAGACAAACAAATTTCAGAAAGGAATACGAAAATAGTGTGTAAGAAACTAGATACCTTAACTTCCACCTCAGCATACAGCTCCCTAAGGTCTTTCATGATTGAGTTCAAGTACAACTCTCCAGTACCTAATATAGTGTGCTCACCAGATTCCTCCACTTTAGTAATAGCTAGAGGATAGCTTTTGCTGATCTTTCGAAGCCCCTCCACCATTTTGGGCAACTCACTGGGATTCAAAGGCTCAGTTGCTGTTTTTACAACAGGAAGTGTATTAAATTGTAAAGGCCGGAATATGCATACATATTCATCAAGTTCCACGTTACAAGGGGTGGCAGTTTTCATAATTGAAGCATCAACACCTTCAATGAGAACCCAAGAACCAGGAGGAGCACTGCTTACTGGTATTCTATATCGAGCTTGGTATATCCATAATTTGGTTACTTCTTTGATTGTCATGTCTTCCTCATCATCTGGTGAATAGCCTTCTCCCAGTACTCTCAAAGTTTGTCCTGTTTGAATTCTACCACTGTAAATTCTACCAAAAGCATCAAAAACACTACAATCGGACTTGGGGTATAGTTTGGTCACGTTAACCATAAGGGGGCCAGAATGATCACAATCTACCATTGCCTTGTAAATCATTGAATGTTTAGGTCCGGTGTAAGTGCGATCAACCTTCTTAGCTGCAACATCCTTGGGAGATGGTATGTGCTGAACCAGCATATCAGTGAGCCAGTCTTAGCAAAGGCCTAACATTTAGCTTGTAAGCAGCATTGCTAAGTGTAACACCTAACTCTGCAAGGGTTGACTGTACACTCTTCTTATGTTCACCAATCACCAGGCTATATATCTTATAAAGGGGTTCAAGCACAAATTCGACAAATGATCATTCTCCTCCACCAGTAGGATGTTTCCTTTTAAAAGTCCTTGTATCAAGATGATAATAAATATCACCCCAAAGACGAGATGCAAACTTCTCAGCGTCAAAAGGAACTCCATGGAGTTTGACATACAATTTTGCAAATGACTGCAACGTGAAGGACCATCCTGCAGATGCACTAGCAAAACAAACATTTCAAGAAGCGGGATCAATAGCTGGAACATTACCAGCAGTTGTAGAAGCGGCAGATATGTGGTTATTGATTACTTCCAGGGTATGCCTTAATTTATGGTAAGCATCCTTGGGGGGCAACTTAAGTTCTGCTATCAACAGGTCAACCTAAAAAAGTAAAAAGCATTTGAGCAGGACTGCAGGAACAAGATGCGGAACATCATTTTCATCAGAAAAACTTAGAGATCAATCATAAGGAGAAAAGAGTTTACCTTGTTTATAACAACTACAATAGGTAAGCGCTCCTGTATTGCATATGGCCCTCTCAGTGTTTACCTGTTCAAAACATGAAGGCAAAGGTATTGCTTAGAACACCGCATATTGATTCGTTTTCATAATTCATTATTCATAATGCAGTTACATCGTGTAGTAACCGAAGTTCAACTATTGGTAATGCAGTGGATTTGAAAAGATTTGATTACGTGTAGTATAATTTAATTGCAATAAACCTCAGAATTCTCATTCTCTTTAGGTCCATTTTATGTGTACTTTTCCCTCCAAAGAATCATAAAGACAATTCCTATTTCTAGGTATAATATTAGGCGGGTCTCAACCATAGCCATAAGAAGAACAAGATAATTGATCATTAATGCATTTTAAATACTATGATACTCATGCAAGACATGTTGCGGAAGACGACTATCGGATAGAGCAAAATCGCAACTGATAATTTGAGAAAATAAAAATGAAGATAAAAGAGACAAAATTTACGTGGAAAACCCCTAAATAATATAGGGTAAAAACCACGAGCAACGGTAGAAGAATTTTACTATGAGAAAATAGGAATTATACCCTCTCTCGATCTACTAAGGAGAAAACAATGATAAATTTTCTTGATAAAAAAGGAGAAAACAACTCTCACGAAAACTCTCTAAATTCTCTAGTATTGGGAGAAAGCTATAATGCTTTGAGATGGTTTTGAAAGATAAATGAGTTAGGGTATTTATAGTTGAAGCCTAAGGACTAATTTGTAAATACCCTAAAGTTTAATGACTAAATGTTGTAATTATCCCTTGCATAATTCAACAAAAATAATAATTAAAAAAACAAAAGCAGTCGCCGGCTGCTATGAATTTCCAACCACCCATTTGCTTTTATCTTTCAACAATCTCCCACTTGAAGATTTGATTGGAATAATCATATCTTCACACCACTCTTTCTACCTTGTATCTTCATGTTGCTTACGTCTCTGACAGGCCACAAGATGATCGACACCAAGTAAATTTATCAACATTGATCGCCTTCGTCATGAAATCTGCTATGTTGTCTTTGGTATGGATCTTCTGCATATCTACCGTCCATTCTTCTACCTTTTCACGAATAAAATGGTACTGAACTCGTATGTACTTTGTCCTTGAATGAAATGTTGGATTCCTTGCTAGATACAAGGCGCTTTAGCTATCACAAAATAGAGAGATATACTTTTGATTGTGTCTAAACTCTTTCAATAACATCTTCAACCAAATTGTTTCTTTACTGGCTTGTGTAGCTGCTACATATTCTGTCTCTGTTGTGGATGTAGCCACAACTGACTGCAATTTTGAAACCCAGCTTACTGCTTCACCAACAACTTTAAACACATATCATGTAATAGATTTGCTTTTATCCAAATCCCCTGCATAGTCAGAATCGACATACCCATTGATAAGTAAGTTTGATCCTCCGTAACATAATGCAACATTTGAGGTCCCTTTGATGTATCTCAGGATCCTCTTTACTGTATTTCAATGCTCTTTTCCTGGATTCGCCATGTACCGACTAACCACTCCCGCTGCTTGTGCAATGTCTGGTCTTGTGCATATCATAGCGAACATTAAACTTTCCACTGCTGATGCATACGGTACTCGAGACATCTCCATTCTCTCTTCTTCACTGCTAGGACTCATACTGGAGGATAATTTGAAGTTAATAGGAAGGGGTAGAAATTTGCTTACAATCTTGCATGTTGAATCGTGACAAAATCTTCTTCAAGTAATTCTTTTGTAAAAGTCAAATCTTCCTATTACTTCTGTCTCGGTGAATTTGCATCCCTAGAATCTTGTTTGATGATCCCAAATCCTTCATTTCAAATTCCCTAGCCAGTTATGCCTTTAATTCTTCAATATGATTTTTGTTGGGTCCTGCAACCAACATGTTATCCACATACAACAACAATATAACAAAATCGTTATCACTAGACCTCTTGAAATAAGCACAAGGGTCTACATTAAGTCGGTTGTATCCAAGACACA